CACTTACGGAGCTCCTCAAACAGCTCACGGTTCGTACAGCAAAGTCTGCTCACTTCATCTACCGAACCAGAATCTTGTTCTCTCTGTACCGGCATAACTTTACCACACTCGTATAGTCGTACAAAGCTGTCAAGCATGACAGCAGACTCCAAGTTAGGATGCAAGCCCCTCCAATATTCTACTTTTTGAAAAAGTCAACCTTTGCCATCAACTTCTTTTTCTGTTTTGGGCAATGTACCAACCTCTCCGGAAACTTTTGTAAACAAAGGTTCGTGTCACAGACCTAGGCAAACTCATGCACAAAAACATTAGCCGCCGCTGATGCAGTCTCACAAGTAATGATTCAAGTCATCTGGTTCACCAAGACAGGTGACTCAAGTTCAAACTTTAATTTTAATTGAGGTAAACTTAAATGAACGGTTGTCTGTTGATAATTCACCATTCAACACTACTTGATTTTGTTCACACAATTCATCGGTTACACTAAACGCATATTAGTGAAAGGATCACTTTTAAGAAAAGATTCACCGTACGTCTCCATATTTATGTAAAATGTAAGAGAGGATATATTGGAGTTATATATTCATCAAATATCGACCTAAGAAAATTTCATTATCAACCATAGGGTTATGAATCGCACGCGAGATCGAAGGTTCTGAGTTAGATTCCCGCGGGCGAGGATTGTGAATGTGCACTGTTGACGAGCCCTATATTAGAACGAAATAGCCGACTTTCAGTGTTTCCAGGTTTATAACACTGGCCTAACATAGATATTGATTGATACATGAATTCACTACGAAACTTCAAATAACGACATATTATCTAATGAAAAGTTTGATATTAACTAGTGGAACTCACAGAAAACTGAGTTTTTCATCATTTTTGTCTGAACAAATTCATCTGTTGAAGGTGGCTGAAAAATAAAAGACACAAAAACAACACTTGATGAATACAGAGATGTGTGTAAAAATGTACAAAAACATACATTAAGGCAACATGATTCATTTTACTACAATAAACAATCTCATATATATATGATTGGATGATCACGATTGTTTCGTATTAATAATCCAGAATTAGCTTTGTAAAACTCCAACCTGGATAGCTGCTGCAGAGATCATCATTACTAGACATCATTGTTACAAATTAATGATTATCGTATTATGATTATGGAAAGGGAAGCTCAGGACAGAGTTGGTTTGGGAGAAAACTGGTTGGGCGGCCTGCGTTCCATTCGGGGGTAACAGGCTTAGGTAAGCAAGTCAGTAAATACGATTTAGAAGATTATAGTGTACTGATGTATTCAGTATGCATTTACAACACTAAACGATGAAGGTTAGTGGATGATGAATAGAAAATAAAAGAGTATACATTTCGGTTGGATTCACTAGTTCATGATAATGAAATGATTGACCAGTGGACAAAAAACAGTTGAAAATAAGCTGCACATCTATCAAGTCTCGCACACCTATTTCCTTCCTTCTAACTTGAATAGAATCAAAAACACGGGATAACTAACATGAATTCATTCTTATTTCGATAAGTTTTTATCAGCTACTCACAACTTCTTTATCATAATTTTAGTGGAATTTCGACCTCTTATTTGCATGATTCGCTAGCGTGAAACTTTCATTGTGCCTCCAAGACAACAAGGTCTGAGAGTGGAGTCGTACTGCTGACTTTAAACGGGAATAACAGCAGTTAGCTGTTTTCTTCCGACAAGCAGCATCTGCAAAGATGCTGCCTTCTCACAAGAAAGCGGTTAGAAAAGGTCAACTCTTAGAATGTTATACCTCACCTTACCCCATGGATTTCTGTATCCAGCGGTAAGGCCACTTGAAGAGCGTAGCTAATACTTCACAAACTTCTCTTAGAAAACCGTGCATGACTGGACTCAAGCAGCTGTCCCTTGGGCTTAGAGCAATTCCAATACGGTTTCCTTTTCAGGTTCCTGAAGAAGTATCTTTCCATGATTTGGGCAGCCAACAAGTGACAACCCACCTCATATCCATAAAAGCACAAGAGATCAAATCGGTCACAATCAAATTCTTCCTACACCTCACAATAACTCTCTTATCTCCACAAAAAACCCTTTTTTCGTTCCCGTATCATCTCGTGCCGCTGGAGCAAATGTTCTGAGCACACGAAACGCTATTTCTGGTCTCCTGTAACCCCGCTCTAAGCTATATATTGGAGATTTCAATGTGTGTCGAATAGGACAATCGGCTTCCTTAGCTAGAAATTTAGGATCGATGTGTGTTACCTCCCCGAAACGCGCATATAGGATCCGAGTCGCGTCATTCATTCGACTTCACTGTGTAAAAATAAAAAGCCAGCTCTAATTACTCCTTATGTATCTGGAAGCCCTGATTCTACTTAACGTGGCCTCGCTGGCGCAGTTAAGTCCTAGGACAGAACTAGCTCTCTTAGACTGGATCCCGGTAGACACTCGCTTATGCGCAGTCCAACTAGACGTGACAGTAAGGACTCGGAAAGATAGGGGTTGCCTCTTCGTTGTCTCAGCCTACGCTCCTACTGACTGAAGTTCAAACGAGGTGAAAGATGAGTTTTACAGAAAGCTTTCGTACCTCCTCCGAAAAGTTAAGCACTCTGATATAGTTATAATGGATGGTGACGTTAATGCTCAAGTAGGTAGACTAAAAGGAAAGATACCTGGGTGGATCTTATGGTGTCGTAGCTCAAAGATGAGATAATAGTGAACTTCTGCTGCAGCTATGCTCAGATAATCGCCTATTTCTAGCAAACACCAACTTTAAGCATAAGGAGAAACATCTCTTGACGTGGTGAGTCTTAAAGCTGGTCTTGTTCTGACTATAGCTTTCCCATAGACTCTGCTATGCTTGCCAATATTGCGTTTACAGTTCTAGAAGTACATCTGAAGGACAAATTAAATCTTACACCCACGCTGAGGCAACTTGGAATGACACCCAAAAAGCTGTGGAAACAGCAGTGATATTTGCGAGTAAGGTAAACCACAAGGTTAGGGAGAAGCCATGGACCTCAGTAGCATCCACCGAACTGACGGATGCTCGAAACCGCATCCCCCTGGCTCTGAACATGACGAAGAGCGAAGTCAGCTTAAACGCAGGCTGATAAAAAGCCTACGTAACGACCGTGAGCAGTGGTGGGTTGCGAAAGCGACAGAGATGGAAAAGGCAGCGTCGATAGGCAACAATAGAAAACTATTCAGACTTATCAGGGAAACCGGTATTAGGAATCCCAATGTAACTGAAACTATTTCAGAAAACGATGGGCTTATTATTTATTCTCAATCCAGAAGATTAGACCGATGGGCGAGCACCTTAGGAATCAGTTTAACTGGCCTTCAGTCACTTTTCAGCTGCTCACGATCTCCGATCATCCTGAATGGCGTTCTCGGACTCTTTATGAAGTTGAGAAAGCGATAGGAAATCTGAAGTGCTGGAGAGCAGCGGGTCCTGATAGATTGACCTCTGAGACTTTGAAGGACAGTGGTCCAGACTAGAGCAGAGCAAACTAGAGAAAACCAGGCTGGTTCTCGATCTTGACATGGCTATTTTCACACTTCGACAGGTCGTAGTACACAGACACACATTTAGTCGTCTGACAATAGTTATCTTCCTGCACCTTAAGGCGGCATTTGACTGTGCTGATCGCGACGTTTCGTAGCAGTGTCTGTCATTAAAAGGTGTACCAAAGAAATACATTAACTTTATACAAGCTCTCTACTCAAACACTACAGGTCTAGTTAGAGCTTATGGAGAACTTTCGTCGGAATTCTTTACCTCAAATGGTGTCCCTCAGGGCTGTCCACTCTGCCCATTCTTGCTTAACTTTGTCACAAGCATGCTTTTGGAGAAAAAATTATCTTCAACTGACTTTTTAGGGGTGGAACTTCTACCAGGAGACACGCCTGTTAACTTAAAATATGCCGATGACATAGTTTTATTTGGTCAAAACGCCGAAAAAATGCAGAAACTTCCAACTACCCTGACCTACTACGCAAGCATGTTCGCGATGTAATTCCCCCCGTTGAAATGCAAAATTGTGCAACAGGACTGGCTTGTATCGGCACCTGAACTAGTGATACAGAATGAAGCACTTCAGCGTGTCAACCGCTTAACTTATCTTAGGAGTCTCATCAAAGCAGATAGCCCTGTGTCTGGCAAATTTCAGCGCGGATACAGAAGGCTCGATCGGCTTTTGTCAACTTGCGTCATTTAAGCGTAGGCAACGGATTAGTCTATTGCACAGCAGTTGGCTGCGTCCTACTTTATGGCAATGAAATATGACAACTCAGAATAGAAGATATTCGTGGGTTAATGGTTTTCGATCATAGGTGTCTCCGAAAGATTGCTCGTGTATCTTATGACTATGGAGTAGGCAATGCTGTTGTTAAGAAGCGAGTACTAGGTAGAGATGGAAAATCAGTTGATGAAGTAGTGAAACTTCGTCAGTTGAGGTGGTTGGGACATGTGTGAGGAATGCCCAACCCCCAACCACCTCGAATAATGATGTTTTGTGGTATAGGAGAAAACTGGAAGAAAAACCAAAACATGGCACAAATCCGTGAAGTCACTAAAGGCTGAAGTGAGACAAGTTGGTAAGTAAAGACCACTTGGTTGTGAGTCGCAAGACAATAGTGACCAATGGTTACAGACCTGTAATGACATGGATCAATATGGTTCATAATGGCGCTCATGCATGGGTTATTTATTTTTGCTCTAATTCTAATCTGCTGAATTCCTCATGACCTCTCATCTCAGTTTAAAATTACTTCTTTCAATCATACTTCTGCATTAATATCTTCAGCGCCTACTATTTTCCATTACCATTAATACTGCTACAACCTCCATCTGTCTGGGCTAATGCAGTATGGCAACTTGAACTGATATACGTACAATCCATGTGCTACGTTATAGCCAACTGACTGTGTTGGTAAAAGTATAACACAAAATGTTAACACCATATCCGAAAACATTGTAATAAGGTTCTTTTGATTAAGATCGAGGTCTTGAATTGTACAACATTCTTATGCATAAAAATGTAGGAATGATATAACAAATTTGCAAACATGAACTCACTTGATCACTTATTCGCTTCTTATTATCATCATTACTATTACTACCAATATAATTATCAGCGTCGAAATGATGCTGTTTCAGTTTTTCATTGAATCTACCAAGTTGAATTTGATAATTTTTTATTTCAGTTGACAAATCAATAATTTGTTGTTCAGCTTTCACTTGTAAATCAGTTAAATTCGGATTGAAAAAATCATTCGATTCTTCAGTGTAATAATAAGGTTTCACTGAAATCACAAAAGATTTAAGTAATGCTTTGAAAAATTGTTGACATATAGATGAATAGTTAATTTCTTGACTTTTAATTTCCCAATAATTTAACAGATTTCTTGTAGCTAAATCAAGTTCGCTTAATTCAACTAATAATGGTTGCTCTATAGTTTGATACTGACTCACATAATTGTTATTACTATTTATAGTGGGTTGAATTATTTTATCATTGATTTCTGTAGCAAAATGATGAACAATAGAATCTGTAACATTGAAGGTGATTTGTTGAGACAGTGATTGAGCAGTGATATGTGTTATGCGATCGGTATGATGATGATGATGATGATTGTTGATGGTATTTTGTTGACCCAAATGATAATTTGTTTCAGTTAGACGTGATCTCAGTAAACGTAAATGATTAGTTAAATTTGCTTCTTGTAATTCATATTCAGCAAATATTCTATCAATTTCTGGATGTATTTTCAATAATTCTTCTGATAAATACTTGATCAATGTGTCACGATGTGATAATTCAGCTTCTAAACAAGCAATCTAAATAAAAGAATTTAAATATTATACAATAAAGATATGAATAAGGAGAAAAATTACATAAATCAATCATTTATTAGCTGTAATAGTCAATGTGACAACTAAGGTGAGAATGTATACTCCAACTCAACCTGCCACATTAGTACACCAAAAAGGATCGCAGTAAAATCGTAGGGAAATATTATAACGAGATAGAGTGAAGAGATAATCACTGGAAAAGCAGTGCTCAACAAGAAACAAACATGAGGTGGAAAAACAAATGTCTTGAGATGGCATCGAGTCGAAGATTTCGAGGAACATTAATCGATATGAAGGATCACCCAACGTCACTATTCACCGATTCCGGCTAAGATGAAGACTCTCAACCAAGAGAGTCAAAACTGTCGATACAGTACACTACAACAAGAAATTACTCCAGGGGCTGATTTCATGCCATGGCCTTACTGCTCTTATCCACGTTTCAAGTAATCCCCACGCTAGGCAGCATTGAATAATAGACCAACTGATGGCTAGGCATACGTAACACAAGTTCCAAACATCACAGTCGATGAATGTTCATAATATGTTCAGTCTACTTTCCACTTTTATCAGACAATCAGCAAAAGAAGTACTCACTCTGAAATTATGTCATACACAAGGAACGGATGAGAGATATGCGGTACATCTGGAAATTGGGTACAGTGATACAAATGCATTAACTGAATATTTCTATCTAAATCTTCAGGACAGTCTTATCAAATACTTTGAATCAGTGAGTTTATTTTCCATCCGAAAACTATATTTTCAAAACCTGGTTTCTCAATAATACTGATGCCCATTTTCTTTACACCATAGTGATTTCCACCCTGTTCACTGCAAGCAGTCGTAACCTAAATGTTACTTCTGTTAAATATCTCAATTTTCGCCATGAGTAGCATTTCAAGCTATATTTCGACTGGTAGCGTTTTGGAGTACCTACAACATATGAAGTTATAGCCGAACAGTGATAGCGTGACAACCTTTTTTTCTCCAACGTCACTTCGTAATCTTATATTCCTCTTTACTGAGGATGAAGCTTTTATTTATAGAACATCCAAGATGTTAAAACGTGTCATATAAAACTCTTAAACTGTCATTTAACCAAACACAGAAGAGCTTGGCATGAATGTGTATCGATTCAGGCTTTCACACATCACTGCGACTTGATAAGATTATGAAGCCTAATGCAAGAGCGGTAGATACGATATCATTAGAAGCATAGACGATTGAGTAACAAAACAGAAATATGATCTTGTGAACGAATCCGCGTTATTCCAAGCCAGTTTAAGCCATATTAAGCAAAAAATGTGAGAGCTTGGTTTCGTCAAATGAGTGAAAGCCGTTGGAGGTACTACGTTTGAATTTATTGGTAAACCTATTCACTAGGTACGTCAATACGAATCAAGTCATATATCTGAGAGCTGAAAATCCTTGGAGGATAGTAAATGAGTCAGAATATTCGCTGAAACTGAAGGTATATTAAGGTATTTCGTACTATAATTATTTTCATTCATTCAGAATATTCAGCTTACTTGTAAGTTTTGGTCTTTGAATTCAGGGGCAGTCATTGTATTATAATTCAGAAAATTCTAACTTCGACCTCTATTCTTAGTTTATAAAACCGAACAAAAGCTTTACAACCAGTTTCACCCATGGTCACTCCAGACTGCTGTTTGACGAGCCGCTCTACAAGTTTCTATGGTCAAAAGTTGGAACTAGCACAACGCAACGTAGCCCAATATCCAATATACTTACAAAAACTAGTACCAATTAATAGGCTTGTTTGTGCTCGCTCCCTTTCTTTGGTTACAGTTCAAGGTATTCGGTAGTGTATAAATAAACAGGATGAATAATTAGTTGGTTCTGAAGATAGTATTGGGAGGCCAAAGTGTTAGGAAAAAAAAGCAAACACAGGTGACAATAAATGGGATAGAATAGGTGATTGGAATGAAGTACCGATTATTATAACAAAAAATGTTAGTCTCCAGACGCTCCTCGGGCACATTTCGTTTGAGAGGGAGATAATAATCCGTATATAGGTAAGTGCTCGAAAAGTTTCCTCTTCATGCTATCCACTGACCTTTATGTAGTCACTTCGACTAGCAGAGCAGTCCTAGTAAAGACAGTGAGAAAAAGCGAGTACGCACTTGAGCGTATGCTCATTGATATGTGTGCTTTGGAGGTGGTATTTTGTCAAGATGCTCATGCTAGAATCATTGAGCGACATTAATATGCTGTATGATTATCAACAGATCAATTTTCATTATCATATAACCCAGCAGGACTGATTCTAAGTGCTTAAGCTTCTTTTCGTAAGATTTTATTTCACCCTTCAGTAACTCTATCAGACTGATGACCATTTTGAAAATTCCGGATGTGACAGTATTCTGAATTTCAGGTTACGGTCTTGAGTATGTATTAGAGAGAGGAATAATTTAGATATGGGTTACACGAATTCGTCTCTGTACGAATTAAACAGTTGCAATTTACTTGACGGAATCCACCTACTAGTTTGGACTAGTGTCTAACTTGTCATAGGTTACTAAACGGAGATCGCGGTCTAAGGGAACATTTGAGAGTGGACTGCCATGGAGGAAGGATGTCGTTTTTTTTGCATGTGACAGACTGCTCATGAAATGACTTATCGACTGACTGAGTTTTAATCAGTTGCCTACTGTTTATTCTTATACTGTTGTGGTCTTTTATAAGCTAAAAACGAATCCCTTTAAAGAAATATAATTAATTACACTGTTTTTTTTGGTATATTTGTTTTACTTAACTTATGAACTTGTTTGAATTATTATTTTCGGCCATTTTGAATTCCGTTTGTCTTGGTTTAGTCATTTGGAGGTTTCGCTCCAGGAACCTATAAAATTGGAGGTATTTGTAATTATTATAATTATTGTTGTTAGAAAGACATTGGACGTCTATTTGTAAATTGGTGAACGAAATTTTGGTCGATTATTTGTGAATTACAAATAAACTTTGGTACCTACTTTGGAGTTGGTTTTGTTGTTAATTTGGGTTCGTGAATTGCAAATGGATCGACATACTGTACTTCAATAACTGGAAGGAGCAAAACTTGGACGTAATAGTCATTTATAATGTTCTTGGAATTGAGTAATTGAGCGAATTGAGTAAAGGTAACTAAAAATTCGACCTAATAGTTAGCAAGAATTAAACATTATGTTTTGACTAATATTAGCACTAAACAGTTTTAATTTTATCTTCAGGAAACAGAAAACTAGCGGTTTTAACTTGTAGAAAACTTCACTTGTCACTGTCATCGGAACACCAGCAACCGAATACCAAATCTAACGAATATAATGACTTTTTAATTCTTATAAATATGTATTCAGTTTTTATTCATTTTATTGGAAAATCTTTTGTATAAAGAACTGGTACTTAAAAAAATCGTGATAACCAAAAATAACGTACGATTTTGCAACTGTTAATACGTAATTTTGTTCTAAGAATTACTTTCCTACTTCCAGAAATAAAGCGGACCACTAAGAAATATTGCTTATTGCTAGGGCTTCTGTACGTATCAGAACGAAAACGGTGCTACTACTCAACAAGATCGGAGGCCATCACAAAGAAGCCTACATGTTGCATGCACCACCTCAGTGAAACTTTCAACACATAAGGCTTGCTGCAACGAGCTATTAGGACCTAGTGTGATAGTGAGTATGGATAAGAAATATATTGCTAAGTGCTTCTCCAGTGTTCGCATGAGGATGGCAGTAGTTGTGGCAGATGTACAGTTACCACGGTTACGATGGTCGAGGCAGTGCCAGAAACGAAGTCTAGCAGGATCGATGGTCTACAAAGAAGAGTAATAAACAGGGTCTCTATAATATCAGTGGTAGTTGAAACGCTTTACATGTATGCCGACGGCTCACTCGCTCATAATGCTACAATTATAATCAGGTTGAAAATAAAAATGTGTTAAAAATGGCATTTCATTTACAATTGTTGAACTTTTACCGACAGCTGAAATTATCACTGAAAATGGAGAGCAATACAGTACGAAACATTATTCCATGATTAATAATGAAATCAAATCAACAACAATTACCGGTAACACATTCAAATTAAGCCAGTACATGTCTGAAGTCAGGAAGCTTTACATTAACCAGGAAGCGTATGGAAGCTACAAGACGGAATCAGGATATGAGACAATATCAGAGACAATTTATGTCAAAAGAATGCTATACATTGTACAATCTCACAACTACACATATTAGGCAACTTCAGCAAAATGGTAGTCTAAATCTGGTAGGTCATTGTTATGGGAGAAATGAAGACATTTGGCTGATTAAAACCTTTATATAAATGTCATTAATTTCACTGCTTTTTTGGGTATATTTGTTTTACTTAACTTATGAACTTGTTTGGTTTATTATTTTCGGAAATTTTGGTTTCTATTTGTCTTGGTTTACTAACTGGGAGTTTTTGCTCCAGGAACCTATAAAATTGAAGGTTTTTGTAGTTATTATAATTATTGTTGTTAGAACGACATTTTGGTCGATTATTTGTGAATTACGAATAGACTTTGGTACCTAACTTTGGAGTTTGACTCTGTTGTTGATTTGGGTTCGTGAATTTCAAATAGATCGACATACTGTACTTCCATAACGGGAAGGAGCAAAACTTGGACGTAACAAAAGTTCTTCAATTTTAATTCTCTTGTCATACATTAGATACGTCAGGACATTTTGAGTCCAATTTTTGGTCTTATTGGTCGAATTCGTTTGGATTAATTCACATTTGCTTGGTAACCGATTTTCGAACAAAGGCATACAATGGAAACCAGAAGCAAAAAGCCGAAGGAAAATGACGAAATGGATGGTAAATTTTCTCAAGCTGTCTGTGGTATGTCTGATTTTAATGATGATAAATGTGACGATATTAGTGTTAATAGTAAGTCCTCAGTTCAGTTTAGTGCTTCTAGATTGAGGTTAGATAAGGCATTACTAAAGAAGAAGAATTTGGAAAGGAGACTTGAGTTAGAAAGGCAGCTTAAAATGTTAGATCTTCAAAAGGAGGTTGATATGGCCGAATTAGAATGTAAGGTCATGGAAAACAATAACCGAGTTCGAGGATGCAGATAGGTTTCGTAATGAATATTCTGTCGAAGATAAAAGAGCTCTAGAAATAGTTAGTAGTTTCTTTAGACTGGAGGGTGGCCATTTCCAAGTTGGTCTACCCTGGGAGTATGATAAGCAAGGCTACCGAATAATTTGGAACTAGGTGAACGTAGACTAGAGTGTTTAAGGAAGAGGTTTATGAAGGATAATAGTCTTCTGGAGAAATATCAACTTGTAATGAATAAACATTTAAGTAAGGGCTACATCATTAACGCTAGTAAGGAGGAATTCGACCGTGATGCTGTTTGTTGGTATATTCCTCATCATCCTGTTATCAACTCTAAAAAGCCTGGAAAATCAAGAATTGTTTTTGATTGTGCAGCTGTCTATCAAGGTTGTTCTCTCAATGATCAGCTTTTGAGAGGACCAAATACTGTAAATAGTTTAATTGGTATACCTCTGCGATTCAGATTATGCAACGTAGCATTAGCCACTGACATCGAGGAGATGTTTCTTCAAGTAAAGATCCCGAGACGAGATCTGTTGTGGTGGGAAGACGGTGATATAGGACGAAAGGCTAAGGAATACTGTTTGACAGTCCATCCGTTTGGAGCCGTGTCCTCTCCTTTTTGCGCTAATTTCGCTCTTAGGAAGACGGTAGATATATTCGGAAATGAATTGAATAAAGATGTCCAGGAAGTTGTAGATAAGAGTTTCTATGTCGACGACTATTTAACTTCATCTTCATATAAAATGCCTTGACAAGTAAATAGGTGTGACCAGATTGTTCGAAATGTATAGCGCAAATACATCACATTTTTCAGATCAATTACGTCTTCTCACTGTTCTATCAAAATTTATAAAAGAGACTAATTGTTTTAAATTACACTTTATTAGAAATGAGAAAAGCCAGTTTAAAACATTCACAGCAAACTTGATTTCGACTATCCACAGTCTTACAAGGGTGGACCAATGGAGATTCGTACCTTCTAAGGAAAATATAGCAGACTTTGCTTCCAGAGGAGCCAAGTTCAACATTGACGATGTCAAGGTATCTACTTATGATTTATTATTCAGATTAGACTAGATTACTTAAGGCTATTGCATGGTTGATCCGATTTAAGCGATGTTTATTAATAATGTATTCTGGCAGAAATGATCTATCTCTACAGGTGGGTATGCTCAGAGTTGATGAGCTAGATTTAGCTTGTTTAGATTTAATTCGATATGTCCACAGCATAGTATTTCGGAAAGAGATTGAAATGTTGTCGTCTGATACCGTTAGCAAAAGAAAATAACAAATTCACCCTTACGAACCTTAAATCCAATAATTATAGACGGATTATTGTGTATCGGTGGCCGACTTCAAATTAGTTCCTGGTCCGAGTTGAGGAAGCATCCTATAATATTACCATCGAAGCATACAATTACAGATTTGATTCTACGTTATTACCATGTTTTGGAGGGACATGTCGGAGCTACACAGGTAATGGCAACGGTCCGAGAAAGATTTTGGGTGCTGAGGGGTGGTGTAGCCATGAGGAGAGTGATAAAGGATTGTGTTTATTGTAAAAGGAGGAACGCCCATCCCA